TTTTCATATTTTTTTTGTTATTAAAAATCTCTAATGGGGTTCAGGAAAAAAATTAAAATCTATTGAAAGAATTTTTAAATTACAATGCTGCAGAATATATAATAAACAAATTGGTTAGCGTATATCCTCGTCTCTCTTTTCTTTCCTTTAAAGCTCAGAAAGCGTATATCCTTGAAAGACTATTATATATCGATTTGAATTGCAAATAGTCTAATAAAAAACTTTATATATGGAAATTTCATAAAAGAAATACTACTGTCAGTAAACAGAATCCCCCGAATGAGAACAAAAAAATCCACTTCTCCTCTTGCTCAATTTTTGTGGAATACAATTAGTGAATTAGTCCGTGATCGATATTAGAATCATATATTCACTGAAATTAGAAACCGAGACATTGAGAGAAATCAGCCACGAAAACAAATCCTATTGAATTAAATTCCCAGTTTTTCTATATTTCCAAAACTGTAACATGCCTTATTTTATGATCTCCTAAATATTTTAATGTCAAATGTGTAAAACTTAAACTAAATGTTAAGTCTCATGCAACTTGTATTGACAATAAGCGAATTAGAGGTCCATATATATGTAGCATTCAATATCTCATCTATATAACTGTGGGATTCTTAACATAGAAATTGCAAAATTAACAAAGGCATATGTAGAAGAGAAAAAAAAGTCCCTGACTGGTCAAAATTGATCTACACATGCAAGAAACGGCGAAACCAACCCATGTGGTGGTGACCATCTTCAGGAAAAAGACAACCTTAATTGATTCTTGAGTGTCCCATGTTTTCTATTTGTTTTTTTTTTGGTCACAAGTGTCCCCATGTTTTCTATATGTCCTTTTTATGTAACATCAATTAATAAATCCGCGATCGTAATTCGTCGGAACCGACAAATAGCAAATCACAACTTTACGTTAGTTAGTAGTTTTGTGCTTCCATAAACCCATATTCTTCCTACCATAAAAATTTTACTAAGATTAATACTATATCAGTTACGGAAAACAAATACTAAAAATACTCAAAATGTAGAGACAGTCATTGTAGTGGCGTACTCACGATATCAATATTAATAATATATGTATAACCGAAATCTGTCCAAACTTGAGGGAACCACAAAAACAGAAATTTCGAGCCCGTCGTAAATCCTGACTCGAATTTGCTAAGATGATTCGGATTCGTACCCGTAATCAAGTAGGAACTTGATATTATCTTAAAAGGTTGCCTAAACAAAAAGGATTCTTCTTTGCCAAAACAAGAACACAGATAAACTATTAGAAAACGTTATACACGAC